TATCTATCTATCTATCTATGTTTAGATGAAGGTCTCCTGGGAACTGGGATGCAGAGTCGTGCAGGTGATGGTCTGCAGAGAACCGATGGATGGCGCTATTTATTTCAATCCCATCACAGTTCCTTGGTCTTATCAGATCCCCATCACTGGTCTGGGAACAGTTTACTTGAACTGCTCAGTATGGGCTGAGTGACTGACGAGCAGATGTCAGATCAGTAGGGAAGGTTACGGGGTTTTCTTAGGGGAAATTCATCTATATTGTTTCATTATAGGGTAAGCCCTTCTGTATAACTGTCCTCAGATACAATGACTTATTGGCTTGGATTCTAAGGAAATTGCATATTTTGTCACGCTTTTGAATAGTTGAATACTGCTTGTAAACATGCTGGGTGGGGGATGTGAGGTATGGATCTTTATCAACAAGAGAGAAAGAGGTGGGGGAAGGCAGGGAGCATGATAGGGGAGGCCACGGGTACAACATGGTTTTGAAGAGCCAGGATGAATCTCTAAAGACAGGCAGAGGATTGGGTTTTAATTTATAATACAGTTATAATGGAAAACTTCAAAAAAAGAAGCTTAATTGTCCTCTAATTCGGCTTTATGGAGTCTATCTCATAAGCAAAATGCTGAGGATCACTAGATTGACCCACTGAGCAGCCTTTTGTGGAAAAAACTGGGAGCTGACAATGAAAAATGTCCCTCATCTATACGGATCATTTTGGAGATGAGTTTCCAGATGTGTGCCACAGCGTGCAATCTGTTGGCTCACTGTAACGCATTTCAAAACAAATCTGCCTGCCCCTCACGCTGCTGCAGGTTATGTTACAGTGGCACTATAAAATATTCATCCATGGAAAATCTCTTTGATTCCAGCCGGTCACTTGGCTTCATGCGCCAGGTTAAAGTCAGCCTAAACGTGTAATTCAAACTAGAGCGTCGGCAGGCTGAAGAACTCTACTTTCCTCCACATTTGCTCTATCAAAGGGACTCCGGGAGAAACGTTTGATCCGCCTGTGCCATCTCAGTCATCCTCGGGGGCGAAAAAAAA